TTTTTTTTTTTTTTGCGGTGTGTCAACAACTGTTGCGAGTCAACAATTCTTGCAAGCTTAATTGCGCTAATGAAATCTCGCTCTTACGTACGCTGAGAGAAGAAAATTGGAAAAAAGAAAAAAGAGAACTCGATGAAAGTCTTTGAAGTGATACAACGTACGAGTTCACGAGTCCCGTAATTTTTACTCTTGTCGTAGACGTAGTACGATCGTAGCTCACACGAGACTTAGATTAAATTGGACTGGTCCAGTTTAACGCACACTCAGACTAAATCCAATGTAATATTCGATCACATCTTGTAACTCGACTGATGGGAATACATTTGAAGAGTAAGGGGACGAGACAAGAGGAGTGTCTTCGTGACAAAACTAGTATAGCCAAGTAATTTGATCAATTTTTTTTACCAGCACGCTGAAATATTGAAACTCGGTTTTCTTTTTTGGTAAAACAAATCTGCGTTTCTTCCGCTTACTCTTCACTAGCGTCACCGTAGCATCCAACTTGGAGTTAGTCTAGATGTAAGCTGGATTCAGGATACTCCAACCTCGTACGACTTTTAGTTAGTCTAGTCTAGGATCTAATTCTACTTTACTAGCGTGACACGTTACTCTCTGAGTCTGAGCTGAGGCTAACTTACTTACTTGTTAGATTAGTTGAAACGTAGAAGTTTCGACACCCTCCGACTTCAAAGGCTGAACGAAGTCTCTTTGAACGAATGAAATTTGAATCATTCGCTGGTCATCACTGCTTTTCTCTCGGCGTGAACGACTTAACCATAATGCGTCGTGCTAGTCTTTGTCGTTGTGCGAATTGAACTGACGTTGTATTTGATATTCAGTTGACTCGGATGATTTGAATACTAGCGTACGAGACACGTTCAGGGGCGTCCCCAAGTTAGCCCTAGAGTATCTTTATGTGTAATGTCTTTTCGTTGGCTGCCTTGCACGCGGCAGTGTTCATTATTATTATATCATCATTAATATTATTATTATCATTACTAGTCTTTCGCCTTACGAAAGAAAGACGAGATTCCTAATTCGAACACTGTATATACGTATATGTATTATATTTACTATGCATGTTTACCTAATGACCAAAG